TTACATAGGTTGCGGCATGCGGAATTCTGAATTTAGTTACTTAGTCCAAAGTGTAGTGTAAAAGCTTTATAAAAAAAAATCTTTCTAATGGAGAAAGCAAGGCGATACGATCATAGAGTATCTATGGATTGTATGCCTATAAGTAAGCTGTTAGAGCAGTGTTTCCCAAACATTGTACTGCCATGGCCCGGTAATTTTCATACTGTTTCTTCGTGACCCACTCAATACTTCTAAACCCAAGCTTTAAGTAAAATAATACACATTTATTGTTAGTAAAAATGTTTTGCTAATATTATTTCGGTATCGCCTATTTAGAAGTCAAGTTCGCGGAAAATGCCGAAAGTTTTATCCTGAGGTCTGATTCCATTTCAATAAGGTGGGAATGTTGCGACCCGGTATTTTATTTTGATGACGGGGTACTGGGTCGTGACCCACCAAATGGGAAACGCTGTGTTAGAGCATTTGCGCACTACGTCTGATTCATATCAATTCCGAATCCGAAATGTCTTGTTAGCTCTAGGTGTACAAGCGTGTATACGTAGGTGTATACGCGTTTTCTGGGATACGAATCGGACTTAGCACATAAGCGACATCCGAAGTGGGTCTGAGTTTTCTTTGTAGATTTGTATAGGTCTTGGTATCAGAACGTATACAAACCGGCGCAAACGCTTTTAAGGTGCCTAAACGCACCTGTTTATATGTACACATTTAGCCACTATCTTAACAACAATCAAAACTTTACATTCCTACGTACGTTAATTAATTATAATCATAATAATCATCAACACATTTATACGTTCCTCAGCTGGGCACGGGTTTCCTCTCAGGCGAGGTTTGAGGCCATAGTCCGCCACCAATGCGGGTTGGGGACGTCACACGTTTTCCGAAGGTTGTGAACCTTCTTCAACATTTAGGTTTCATCACGAGGCTTTCCTTCACGCAAAAGCTCTTAGTAAATTTCAAATAAAATTTCGCACATAAATTCCAAAAAACTCACGAATTCGAACCCATAGCCTCTGCTTGAAAGGCAGTAGGTAGGATTAGTTGACATAGGACCTATTTGCACAATGACCTATAGTCGTAAAAGTGATGGTGGTAGGCCTCATTCTGAAAATACTTTATTCGAGAAGTACCCTATTCTAAAAGATTTTTCAACAAGAACTTTGTTTTGTAAATCAAAATTAAACAATATATTTAGATGACAATGATTCAAATTTTTATTGTATTAAAAAAGTAAGGTTTGGCAATTACGAATGAAAAATGATATCTGATAAATGTCCACCACGATCACAGTTACAGATATCGATTCTTTCATCAAAGTTTTTAATCAGTTTTTGACAAAATGGTGAGTCTATTTCGTTAATCACTTCATGAATTTTGAGCTTTAAGGCTGCCATCGGTTCGATTGGCTCGGTATAGACTTTGTCTTTAACATAATCCTATAAAAAATAATCCAGCGGTGTTAAATCACATGATCGAACTGGCCACTTAACGGCTGAATTTCGTGAAATTATGCGATCCGTAAATTTGGTTTGAATTAAATTCATTGTTTCGGTGGCTGTGTGACTTGTAGCACCGTCTTGTTGAAACCACATGTTAGTGATATCCATATCATCGACAATAGGCCAAAATTGAGTTGTTAACATCTCTCGACAGCGTAAACCATTGACCGGAAATGTGGTTACATTTCCAGCCGAATTTTCGGAAAAAAACAGCCCAACGCCATTGGCACAAGTCACACAGCCACCTAAACAATGAATTTATTGCAAACCAAATTTACCGATCGCATAATTTCAAGGAATTCAGCCGTTAAGTGGCCAGCTCGATCATGTGATTAAACATCGCTGGATTATTTTTTATGGGGTTATGTTAAAGACAGAGTCTACTCTGACGATACAGAACCATTGATGGACGAATGCAACGTCATCGCATTGCATCATGTATTACTACATGAGAAATGGGCGCCATTCCCACGTCTAGGTGCTGTTTTCTGTCGGGGACAGTTGCACTTGTGACTGATAGCATCACTTTGTTACGAGTGCGTTTTTTATGAGAAACTATAACGATTTTCAAAACAAGAGGTAACATAACAAAGAACCTTACATAAACTGTCATACGGAGTTGGCTCCGTATGACAATTGATTTGAATTGATTGCAGCCTGAAAACTCCAAATTCGTGAAGTGATTAAGGAAATAGACCCGCCATTTTGTGAAAAAGTGATTAAAAACTTTGATGAAAGAATTGATATTTGTGGTCGTGGTGAACATTTGTCAGATATCATTTTTCATTAATAATTGCCAAACCTTACTTTTTTTAATACAATAAAAATTTGAATCATTGTCTTCTAAATTTATTTTTATATTTTGATTTACAAAACAGAGTTCTTGTTGAAAAACCCTATACTTAAGACTTATTCGTACAAATCAAATCATTAGGTTAGCACGGCTTTTTTAAATAAGAAAATAAATAATATTTATCGGAAACCTAGTATCATTTGTGAAATAAACAGTCGATGTATAATAAAAAATAAGGATATCTGATGAAAATTAATGCTGACTACCGGAAGACGTCTAATGGTTCAATTATTAAGAGGTTTCGACTTTTCAAACCCCGTGTAAGATAATGGTAGTTCCGAATTACTTCGCCGCTATTGAAAGATTTCATTGTGTGGTAGAAGACTCATAATAGCACGTTTTCTATTACGTGTTACATCAGTGGTAATAACAAAAAGGGCAAGTCCGACGGGCGGCGAAGAGATGACAAGCGTATATTGTTGATAAGAGCAATAGAAACTGACCTGCGCTAATGTACGTATGAATAACATTGTTCACAATAGTAAATTGTATATCAAAGGCGGTAAATAAGCAATGACTAATGAGGTATTAGAGTTTAATGATTCGAGGTTTGTAATATGTTACCGCCTTATACTACATACAATGTTTTTCACGACGTTTGCAAGGAAATTAATACAAGGATAATTTATTTCTTATATAAATAAATAAAGCCGTGGTAGCGTAATGATTTAACCTACCGCCTCCCAAGCAATGGCCGTGGGTTCGAATCCGTACTCGTATCTCCAAGTTTCTCGAAATTTATATGCGGAGCTTTTCGGTGAAGGAAAACATCGTTATGAAACCTGCACGTCGAAGAAGGATGACCTGACCCGCCTTGGGCCAGCGTGGCGGACTATGGCCTAAAACCTCGTCTGAGAGGAGATCCATGCCCAGTAGTGAGATGTATAAATGGGTTGGTGATGATAAATATCGCTTCACAACACAATAATTACGGATTTTGCAAATGGCGGGTTCTATGTGTTTTTTTAAACATACTAATAATCATAACGCATACACTCATAGTACTAGAGCTACCCGTGTCGCACGTGTCATGTACATACACATAGAACACCCAAACTCACGAGAGAAATAAATATAAACCGTCTGTCGTACAAATATATCTCCCGGCCCGGGAATTGTACCCGGGACCTCTGCGTGGCTATCGACCATGGTAACCGTTTGACCACGGAGACAGTTAAAAGATGACCAGCAATTTTTCATTAAATAATACAAACTCGAAATTAAGTATTGTGAAAGCAAAAACGTGTACTATAATATAAATAATTTCAAAATATCAAAAATACTGCAGTTTGAATTTTGTTTGCACTATTGCAGTCTTCTTCGTAAGTAATAACTTTGGCAATAAGTTTATGTTGTAAATACATTTAATACTTACGTTATTACTGCAATGCTCACACACTTTTCTTCTTCTGTTTATCGTGTCGATGTCATACAATGCAATGCATGCCATCGTGTTGAAAGGATTTGCCAATTGTAGTGCATTTTGTTTGCGCTATTGCAGTCTTCTTTGTTATTACTTTGGCAATAAGTTTGTTGTAAATACATTTAAATACTTTATTATAATACGTTATTATAGCAATGCTTACACACTTTTTTTCTTCTACCTACCGTGTCGATGGTATACAATACAATGCTTGCCTTCATGTTGTAAGGATTTGCCAATCAGCGATACTCGCCGATTGTTACCCAGATTGCGCCAGATGAGATGTACAGGAAAGGCATGGTACGTCGTGCGGGGAGGCTCCTTTCGTGCACTCCACTACGCACTAAGAGCATCATTTAAAGAACCTCTAACTTTGAACGAAACTATTTGATTAATTTAAATGACTTATAAATAATGTTGTCTCTTAACGACATCATCATTAGCGTCAAAATTCAGAATCCAAAATGAACTTGCAATAAATGTAAACACCTGGCAGTAGTAAGCATAGTCTGTGAATGTTAGTAATTTGCTAATTAATAACAGAAATCAGAAGAAGAATATTGATAATGTCAATTTATTCAAATTAATTTTCTTACGAAATTTTTATTATTCCGACGTAAAAGCCAGCGTAAGTGCGCACACTTTCCGTCTGTGTCCGGGTCATGACGTTAAGTAGCCCTAGTATCAACAACACTTGACTTAGTTTTTATAAGGTCTACTTTTGGTTTATGTTTCAAAATGCTTTTTTTACATTTACGACATTAAATATTTAAAAATTACAGATAAATTGCCTATTAATATGCGATTTAACTATACTATAGTATTAGCATGTATTAGGGTGCTAAGACGAAATGTATGTGAAATCAATATGTAGAACTGCATGCAGTCATAACCGACACTAAACTCCACGTTGTTGATGAAATGTGTAACTTATCACTATATTTAGGACATTATTGTAATTCCAAACCCTGACTTATTATTAAGGAAATAAATCACTATCGAAATGCTCAATTTTAATTACAAACTCTGTAAGGAATTTGCGATCAAAAATGTAAACGAAGGTGCCATTACAAAAATAGAAAATATTTAAGAATTATTCTATTGATAGGAGATTCGTGGAGAAAAGTTTCACGAATCGTGTTATTGTTTAACCATTAAGTTGATTAAACCCTTAAGTTATCGTTACCTTTTGCCGTTACTACTAAAGATTAAGTTGTTTCAGACACAAAAACGTTACATCGATAATGTCACGCATTTAACTGCATACGTGCTGGCTATCTGTTGGCAGCCTTAGGAATGCTTGAATGACGACACAAAGAAAAATTCCTTCCATCTGACTGGACTCGAACCAGGGTCAATTGCCACTCTGCCACCGCGTTTACCAACTGAAATACAGACCGAGTCAGCAAACTGTGTGCTTGTTGCAGATCTTTTATTGAGAACTCAATATAATGTAGGTATCAATAATATTAACAAACCAGTGGAGTATTTTCATAAAAAAAGTATAAATATCATGATAGTAAAACATATTGATGTTAAATAAATAATGTAATAAAGTTTATTTGTTGTTTTCACTGAACCTTAAACAATATAACTAGTTAACAAGAAAAGTTATATATATTAATTAATGGAAACTGTATGTTATTTTTTAACTGAATAAATTCATGTTGTCGCACATATCGGACATGGTAAAATTAGTTATCATTGTACTTTTTAGGGCGTTAGAGCAAAACACTAAGATATATAAGAATAAACATTGTCTGGAGTTATCACTTAATCTTCCAACATTTTTTTGGGAATTATCTTAATAGTACTTGCATTCTTTAATACATTTTCAATGCTGATGATTATCCTGTTGGAATAAAATTAATTTTGTATGTAGATGGTATGCCTATTCAGTTCCTATTTTAACCTGATTGCAGGATGCGACATATCGTGAGAATACATCCGCAGTGCAACATGGACATGTATTATTTATATTGTATATCAATCAGATAACATTGGATTGTGTCGACATTTCGGAGTTCGCATGGTGCCGTCTGAGGCGGCGTACTGGCGCACCCGCAGCACAAACGAAAGAGCTCATTGCGTAACTAGTTATGCCAGCAATTCGGGGAGGCCATTTTTTCCTTTGTCGGAGATCGTAAAAAAAGTAATGCATAGGCATTAGCCGGACTTCCACGTAGACGTTCACTTTGAATGGTATCTTATTGTAGATCGAACGAATAGAAAATTATATAAATTGCTTCTCGAAATACGCGCGAGTGCCGCTCCGCAGTTATTACTTGATCGTGAACAATTATAGCAGCCAATAAGTTTCTTATATTAATAGATTTGCTGAGAGAAACTCTGCGATTACTTCTTGTACACTAAGTTTCTTGTCATATTAACAAAATGTTCAACAAATTATATCTTGAATTCGACCATAGCAAATCAAAACATATTTCAATGGGATATCTTGAACTTAATTACGAACTAGAGTTAGATATCTGGGTAAAGGCTTCATTAATTACTATAAATTATGTTATTAACTGAAGCGCTTCCGCAAATTGAGTGTTCGTGTTAGAATCTCATTAACACTCTGCACGTTCAGCGTTCGCGAAAATGTATCTGCATTCATTTGCCGGCCCAGCGCGAACATCCATCATAGGACATCGCCGTTATAACTGCTATTCTGATTCATTAATTTGATTGTCAAGATTACTTCGGGCAAATTAAGATTGTATTTCAACTAGAAATGAAAATCAAAACATTTCGATCGTCAGAAATAGAGAGATTGTAGACTTGTGTTCCAGAAATGTTGAACGTGTGGTCGACATGAGTTCACATAATATTTATAATGTGTCGCACTGCAACTGTCGCAGCTAATACTGTGCGGCTCTGGGCTGCCATTAGTGGTATGTTGCGAGGCTGCAAAGTAAACCTTTGATCAGACTATGTTTGTAAGCATCCTCCATTTCCTCCAAACATCATAGATCCTCCATTTCCTTCGGCCCTACAAACAATTTTGATAATATTGACCAGACCGTTGGAGATGATGCCATACTTGCTCTTTTTACTTTCCACAATTTCTTAAATCTATTTTTGAATCTATTAGTAACTTTTACCTTTAATAATAATTACAACAAACTAGTGAAGTAATTTCACATAAAAATAATTGAATATCAATTCAAAATGTAAACTTCTACCTTTTTAGACACAGGTCCAATGTGACAAGTTTCTTAAGTTTTTCTCATAAAGCATGAGAAATTCATACAAGGAAGCTTTAAGTAAAGCTTTAATCTTCAACAGAAGCTTTTATTGCTATTTTATAATGCTTCTTACGATCCTATTCTAGTGCTTTGTGGAGGCTATTATATCCGTAATGGAAGAGAAATTCCAAAATATTAAAATTTATATGCGCGTTATCCAGAATAAGTGCCTTTAGGCTGTGCACGCACATTAATCAGCGATCGATAGCCATGTTACGGGCAATTAATGCGTAATAAGTCATTCGCCACAAGTGTAAAACTATTATCGGTTTCACTTGCTTACCTACTATTTATCGAGAGGTACACTTAAAAGTATTTTAAAGCGAAAAGATCACTCAGTCACGAGTTACGCGGTACAAACTGTTAGTTCATAATCTTCAGAATTATTGTTGATGATATAAGGGGCAATTTCCAAAAATAATTTTAAAATTATTTTGCGGTAGGATGCAGGCGGCGCAGGAGCAGGATAGCTGGCGTGCTCAGGGAGAGGCTTATGTCTGGCAGTGGATGCGTGTAAGCTGATGGTGATGATGATGATAATATTATTTAGGGCCACCATATGAATCATTAAATAAAAAGTTATTTAATCCTTATTCGTTAGGATTTGTAGGCTAATTCAATTAAATATTGTGATCAATCAATTAGATATCGTGAGATGAAATTCTTTTTTGGCGACTATATATCAATAGACTATTAAATTATTATAATGTATATGATTGTTTGTAAGATTAATCAACTACAAATATAGTATTGAGAATAATAAAGTATGAAATAGCAGAGGGGTCAATTAAAGCTTTATTCTCGTTTAGATTAACGCGAATTGATTAATGGAGGAGCAGTGAAAGCTGCGTTTGCACCGCTGTCGCTACCGCACTGTTGGACCTTTGTTTCATTTTGCAAATTCTAATTTGCTTTACTTTTTTGTTTACAAGATTTCTCCATTTGTTTTTTTTTTTTTTGTATTTGATAATTATGCAAGAATTTTGAACAAAAATTCGTTTTTAGGTATTTTTTTAAACGTAAGCTTTTATCTGCTACGTATATTTTAGAAATATTGTGAAAAGATTGAAGAATAAATTGTTTCTTGAACTGATTTCGATTAATACCGCTGTCACTGTTCTTAAACGTGACATTACGTATATTTAGGTACTAAGTTACTTTATTCGTGTTAGTTTCCATTGTATACGACTACAACCAAATCTTTGTCACCCACCGAAACGGTGAGATTGTAGTGAATAAGTTTTCGAGAAGCCTTATACATTTCTGCGAACTGTTAGGCAATAAATAATTAAACTTATGAATCAAATGTTCTTAAAGCAATATCAAAAGGTTATTAATAAAGATAACAGCAATATCGCTTAAACGTTGTTTAAATAAAATATATCGTACAGTACACATAACATTTGAAAGTGGCTACAATTTTGCCGCGAAGTGGGTCGCCGCACCGTCTCATTATTATACCGTTTATGAAAAGCATTTTTTTAATAAAACGTGATACCTGGTTAGTGTTAAAATTCAACACAATAGAGCACGTCCACAGTCATTTGCAATGACGACCGCCAATTTCGTCATTACTTTTTAATCTGGCCGTTTGTCATTAACTGTCATTTCGGGGCATTTCACGAACCGTTAGCTCCGGAACACCATTCGACTAATATTGATGCAGTATTGAAGGACCTACTATAGGGATTTGCGAAATAGTGATATTGTGGCCGTGTTATGGTTTTGGATATTGATTTTAAAGGTCTCACATTTCCTCATGATTATTTCCTACGTATTGAAAAATCGCTGTATGTCTTAAAATGTCTTTTAGGTTATTTCTCTACCCACTGCCTCGTACAGTTTATAAGCTTAATTTTCAGTATTCAGATCAATGGTACAAAAATAAATATTAAAATAATTTATCAGCTTCTTAATTTTGATTAATTACAAGATGGTAATTATTTCACTATGTAAAAAGGCACTACAATCGATTGTACACACTGTACACTGTCAGATTTCACTTTTCCCGAGCATATCGCCGTCATTGTCATTGGACAGTAGCAGTGTCATGGCTGCGTCCCCAATGCGGCTTCTGATGAATCCGTGCAATCAGACTAAAACGGCACTAAACTGTAATTTGGGCGAATTTTCCTGTTTAACGCAGCATGTAACTTTCTTTTCGGCTCCGACTGAGTTAAATAGACTGTAAATACTCGAGTGATAATTGCCGAATGGCGTTGTTATGTACTTTTTTAGTCTGTTTGACGATTGTCCAGTTTTAATTTCTATTTGCGCTACTAGTAGCATTTCATTCTAGACATTAAATGTGACGAATTTGTAAAACTATTTTGTTTTTTATTTAGATTTTTGATTCGGGACTTAATCGCGTATAAGAATTCGAAGAAAGAGACGTTTCCCTTCGACAAACGTCGAGGTAATTAAAATATATTTTATACGTGATTAAGTCCCGAATTAAAAATCAAATAATGTGAGAAAATCGGGAAAGTTTAAATCAAAGTATTTTGATTTTGCCTTATTGTACAAAAAAATCGACATTTTTAGCGAAATTGAGTTATTAAGTGTAACATACCTGGAATCAGCAAAACGAGATCTACAACCACCTCTTAGCGGTTTTTTTTATATCTTATTTAGTCTCAGTTTTATTGTTAAGCAAAGTCAACGTAATATGCGTATTTAAAAAAAAACGACTTTAATATGTCGAAAGTTATTGCGGTCTTAGGTTTTCGCGATTCTTACACATAGGAAATGATTTAAATCCGTAAACATAGTTTCATTCCCTATCTAAGTTATCAAAACGTAAATGCGTTGTTTATGGTATGGCAAGGAAGGCAACATAGACTATAATATGAAGAGAGATGTTGGTTAGCACGTATACGATATATCCTTGTTTTTTCGTTCATATTTTTACGTCACAAGCAAATGAGCTAAAGTGGCTTTAGTTACGAAAACCTGTTCACCTTTTCGTCTCCAAGCTTAAAAATTTACTACACCTTCACTATTTTAGTTAGAGCTTTTGCGTTGCAACATTTTCTTCTTTATATAAATCGGTTTCTAATGGAAAGCAGACAGAACAGAGGATCAAGTTAAAAAGTTGCGGTGTTATGCTTTAGTACGTGCACGTTGGCAAGATTTTGCTTTACTTTCATCGGCTAATGAGCGCTGCATAAATGTCGAGTCACACCGCGACGCTTTGAAAACACATTTGAATTGAATTTGCTTGTCGCCGAGTTGACGGGGACGAACTGCCTAAGTTTCCTTG